TAATATACGTTGAAACGGCTTTTAAACAAATTAGTTGGGCGGTTTTATTCCGTTTGTATAGATCGCTTAGGTTGATATTCGCCAGCGATTTAGGAGTTACTGTATATATACTCGGTTAATTTAAGTTCAGCAATTTTGTCGAATTTACATTGAAAATTTGCAAATTTACATGTTTTCGTTGTTAACCTTTTCTCAATTTCTAAAGAAAAGTTTTCAAATTTGAATTTAGAAATTTGCGAATTTGTAGATTCCGGATGTTGAGACTTTTCGACGTTCGAACGGGAGAGGTTTTCAAATATACAATTGGAACAATTTGAAAGTTTCCAGTGTTCGAACGTTGAAACAGTTTCGGATCTTCGAGTTTGATACAATTTAAAAATCTGCAAACGTGCAAATTTTGAACGTTAGAATTTTTGAATTTTCAAACAGAAACCTCACGAATTTGCATTGAATTGAAATTAAATTTGTATTTAAATTTCAATTAAATTCCAATTCTATCATTTCCCCCTTCTCTCTTTATTTCCACCCTTTACGTTCTGTTTCTCCCTTTGGTTCGAGAACGGCCGCCATTTTTACGTATCGACGCGTCCGGTAGAGACACCCGGTATGTTGAACGAGTTACCTTCGTTGTCGTCCGTCGTGATAGTAATTACCTGTGCGGAGTTCGTCGAGACCGAATGTTTCCCTTCGAAACTGTTACGCGACAGGAGGGTGGCTCTCGCGATCGTTCTGTCGTTTCTCCTTTCACGAAGTGTGTCTTGGATAAGTCGTTAAATCGAACGAACAAGTTCAAACCGGATAAGTAAATAAGTAAATATCACGAGAATTACAAAGAAAAATTTTTTTCGCTCGTCTTAACTTATCGTCCGAATGGAGAATGGACGAGTGCCGTTTCGATTATTCGGAGATTTGAACGCGTGGTTCAACGCGATACACTTCTCTTGCCGATACTTTCAGCACTGGGGTGGTTACCAAGTGATTTTTCAACTTCCTCGAATCGCAGTGAAACTTACACTCGTATTTCGGCTTCGTGTAAAATTGCCCGGAGGAATATTTCGTTCGATCTGAAGGAGGGGATCTGTACAGAAATAGCTGTGTAAATAATTTTCCACGATGAAAATTCTCGATAACATCTGGCGGGAGCCGCGATATGCAAATGCTCGACTACGATGTGATCGATCAAACCGGAGCAAAAGGGGTTAACGAAGGATGAATGGATAATAGCGTTATAAATGTTAGAGTTCAATCTGATTTATAGAGGTTTACCATCGTTTATTTCACGAGATTACCGCGACGAATTAAAGGTTTTTTTGCAAATTTCTAGAGGAAATGTTTTCTGCGACAGAGTATCACCATGGGAAAAGGTGGAAACTAACTAAGAAGAAACTTTTCATTTTACAGTAGAGTAAATACAGTGTTAGAGAAAAATAAAGAATAGCACCGAAGATAAAAGTGCTGATAAATTCTTAATTATATGATAAATACACTTATACAGACACACACACACGTACACATGAAACACAAGAGATACGTGCAACTGTTTAAAAAAAAATTATCGAAGAAACTAACTATTAAATGATAAATGATTAAAGTATAAATTTTATGCCAGCTGTTCCTCGCACTAATTTGATCGATATT